GGAAAGAAACTTCGGAATAGGAGTACCATTAAAGAAATCAATCACAGCCGAAGTAATATCATTAGAAATAATATGCCAAGTTTTCTGGAAAAACTTAGTAGTGAAACCATCCTGACCCGCCACAGAATCTGCATTCATGTCAAACAAGGTTTCATTAATTTCATCAATAAGAGGGCAATTAGATAAACTACAATTGTCCTCTTGAGAAACTAAGTTTGGGATAAAAGAAGTATCATGAAATGTAGCATGAGTAAAAGACTTATTGAGATGATTTTGAAAAAAATTAACAGCAAGATTAGCAATCTCATTAATATTCTCAGTAACTGAACCATCATCCCGAGAAATTTTATGAATACGATTAATAGCCCATTTCTTATTAACCAAAGCATGAAAATATCTAGTGTTATTATCACCTTCCACTAAATGTTTGACCGCAGTTTTCTATTTCCAAAAGATTTCTTCCTGAGCTTGAAGCTTACATAGATCCACTTTAGCCTCATTTAAAAGAGCAAGATTGGACATAGAGGGGTCCAACTGACAAAGATCCTCAATAGAGTTAACCCTATCTTCAACAAGTAAAATGTTCGAAAAAAATATTCTTTAAAATGTTATGGTTCCACCAGTTCACAAAAAGCTTTAACCTCTTCAGCTTAAGCCAAAGTATAGTCATACCAGAAATAGAATCATCAGGAAAAAGGAGAGCCTGCCAATTATTTTGAACAACATCAAGAAATGACTCATGTTGCAACCACATATATATTCTAAAATTGAAACTGAGAAGGCGCACCCGTGATATTAACTTTAACTTTGATAAAAAGGGGAGAGTGATCAGAGAGGGTATGACTAAGGTGATCCACCTTAGTCATGTTGAAAAAGTTAATCCATGCATTATTAAAAAAAACTCTATCCAACCATTGCCATAAGTGCCCATGATGCCAAGTGAAATTATTACCTGAAAAACCAATGTCGATAAGGTTACAAGTCATGATAATGTCATTAAATTCTTCCATAGACTGATAAATAGGAAGAGAACCCCCAATACGCTCCGACGGGTTCGAAATAGTATTGAAATCACCACCAACCAATCAAGGAAGGTTACAAACACTATGAAAATTCACAATTTGTTCCCATAAAATTCTTCTAGAATAACAGGAAGAAGAAGCATAAACAAAGGAAGCACATCATTGAAAGTTAGAGCATTTAATGTTACAGTGTAAAACTTGAGGGAAGTCACCGATAACATCAATTCTAACAAAATCTTTCCAAAACACCCAAATTTTGTTGGCAACATTCGACATAGCATGATTAAAGCCCAAATATTTAGCAGTGCCCAATAATTTATTAACAGAAATAAGTGATTCTAACAAAACAAGAATATAAATATTATGAATACGACATAAGTTTTTAACTCTAAATTTTGAAGAGGGCCAACCAATACCCCACACATTCCAAATGATGGCATTAAACATAATAAAAGAAAAATTAATGAGAAGTATGCGAATGGGTATTCCTAGGAGACTGTAAAAAGACATTTTTAGGTTTCCTACCCCTCTTACCATGACCCTTAGAAAAGCTCAAATCATGATCTTCTCTAGCATAACATTTAGCAATAATATCCACTTCAGTGTCAGTAAAAGCATCACAGTGATAATGATTAGTTAATAGCAACTCACTATCATGAAATTTACCTGAGGACTCCAAAGGAAGCCTCTCACCTACCAAATAAAAAACACCATCTTCCCCAGTAGAAATGTTCCTCTTAATACCTTCACAGCAATCCTTATCACGAATAGATTGAGCAAGAGTAAGGGATAAATCTTTCTCCTGCAAAATAGGATCACTTCGCATAATAACAATATCATTAATAGTATTAGGATCATTCTCCTTAGAGGATTCAATGTCCCCAAGGTCAAGAACAACTTCAAGATTACCCGTATTATCCACAGGCAAAGCATTCTACCACATTTCTTGTTCTAAGGGAGAAGGATCCCTATTAGAACTACCATCATCCTTAATAACCATAGTAGACAAATTAGGAGCAAGATTAGAAGAGAAATCAGGAACAGTATTACCATTCTCATTAATAGTAGAAATAATAGAATTCTTATCATGATTAGGCACATTAATAAGAGTAGCAATATTAATTAAATTTTCTTCCAGGTCCTTAGCCAAAGGAACCTCCACCACCTGATCACCATTATGATCCACCGTATCCTTAGAACCATTACCAACCTCTTTTTGAACTAAAGTCATGTCATCCCCACCAAGATTAGATTTGGAAGAAACTTTCTCCTTACGGAGGTTAGGATGTAATCGAAAACATTCATTAATCTCATGTCCATGCATCTTACAATGTGAGCAAAAGATAGGTAAATTTTCAATCTCTACTTTTTGAAAATAGCCATTCAATTCCGATCCAAGCCAAATTTCATGAGGATGCTTTTTCTAGACATCAATTTCAACCAAGACACGTGCCACAGAAGGCCTAGATAAAGATGCAGTAGCTTAATCAGTTTGTAAGGGTCTACCAAACATAGAAGCCATACCAAATAAGATATGCGTGTTAAAAAAATGTAAACGAAGATTAGGAAATGAAATCCACACCGGGGCAATGGGAGACTCCTCCCTCACATCAAAATTTGGTGACCATTTAAGCAGGCTCATTTGACAACCATGAACATTGTATGAATGCCGTGAGAAAATGCAACTATAATCCAAATCATTAGTCAGTTGAATAACACTGTGACGAGGATCCAACAAACCCACATTAAAAGATCTAGAGAGTTTAAGGGCAAGAAAAAATTTGAGAATCACATCTAGATTTGGCCTTCGTAAAACAAATTTACCTACAAGAGTAAACGCAAATGGTGCAGCAAGAAGGGAGACAACAGACTCCTCAAACAGTAAAGTTGTACAGCCTTGTTGACCTCATTTTTTTTTATTCTCACCTCTCGAGGTGATATACTTTTTCTAACGAGACAATTCGATTTTAGAATTCAATTTTTAAGTCCCAAAGAAAACTAATATTTTTAAAATATGTTTTCAAAATTCCACCAACAAGCCTTTAAATGAAGAATGCACAAAATGAACCCTAGGAGTCGCAGAGGAAGAGCCACCCGACACCACATCCTTGAAGGAACGAGTCTTAGCAGTGGGGGTCAAAGAAACAAGCGGGATGGACGACGTCGAAGATGTCATCTCCCCCCTCTCGAACACCAACGGAAATATAAAACCACAGATGGACAAACAAACAAGGAAAACCCAAAAGAAACAAGGAGCCAGGAGGGGAACGAGGTTACCACAGGAACAGCAGACGAAGAAAGGCAAACGAAAAAGACCGGAGAAGAAGGATCGAAGGTCACCCGAAAGCCGAACACAAGGACGCCACGAAAATGCAAATTATATGTTCAATATATCATGTGCTCATGATGTTACATGCTTAGTATCAGTAATAATCTGATCCTGTAATTTTGCTTCTTTAATATACGGGCTTTGCCCCAAAATTTACCGAAAAAAAATAAGAGAAATGATATAAATTCTCTTGAAGGAAATTAGTCTTTCCCAAGTGCTATAAACTGATTGCAATATTATTATAATAGCTCATTATGATTATGAACTTTATGATATGCACATCTCAGTTTTGGCATCCTTAAACTTTTGTCAAAGAAGGAGATGGTGAGAGGTTTATCTTGTTTCAATATACTTGATCAAATATTTAAGAATAGTAATAATTTTTTAGGAAACTTCGTGTCATATTAAGAATAATAGTAATTTTTCTTTGTATTATTCTCTCATATTAAAGGAATTTTGAAATGAGACGAGCTCGAGTTCGAGCACCGTATTTGACAGTTGAGCTTGACTCGAATACTTCCTTACTCGAACTCGACTCGTTTGCACCCCTAATAGAAAAGGAATTGCTAAATTCGAGAAAGAAGAGCACACATATTAACTCTTTCAAGTTTCACCCTATATCAATCATAACTATTTGGTAATTCAGTTTCTTTTCTTGTTAATTATTTAAATATTATAATTGAAATTAAAAAGAAAAAAATTACTTGTCTAATTAAAAGAATTTGTGTTTCAATTTTTGGATTGTAGCTCTTATGAGCAATAGTGAGTTGGTGGAGTCTTTTAAGGATTTTGTAACCGATGTTTTAAATGAACATGTAGGCCCCATAAGAGGATTTTAACCAAAAAAAAATATTAGTCAAAGATCTGTTATAGTTGGTAGAATTAATACACCAAATGTCATAATGTGGATATGAGATTATGGTATACAAATATGATGATCATGCAGGATAAGCGACAAACTCATTTACTTAAATTAAATAAGTCAATAAATTAAAAAATTCCTAATTGATAATATGCATTAAAAATGCGGGAAATTATTACGTGAGGTCACCAGATCGTTCGGAGGGGAATCAGGATGCGCCATACCACCTGGTATACAGCAGTACACAGCATCGGAACACTGCAAAATAACAATATGACGCATTCTGATTCGCCTCCGAGGACATTTGGTGACCTCAGGTAATAATTTTTTTAAAATACCTGCAAACATAACGACAAAATTGCAAATATAATTATATATCTTCACAGGCCTGCACAAACTAGGCTGGTGGTTATTTTTATACCTTCGCCAGCTTTCAGAGATATGGTGGTTATATTTATATATTCTTCCAGCTTTTTAGTAAAGCAAGCTGCTTAAAGTACGTACCTGCCATTAACGTCCTCCACCATTTTTCTCCTCGTCTATATAAAGATCAACTTAACGTTCACATCTCCTCAACTCAACAAAAGATCAATGGGCTTCCATCACCATTTTCTCCTGCTGGTTCTCCTTCTCCCCTTCGCTAACTGCGACGAAACCATCTGCAGAAATCCCACCAAAAACAAGAACATAATATCTAGCATCAAAAAAGTCGTCAAAACTCTCGTCAAATTGACTCCTGCAACCGGCTATTCCGAGTACTCCTCCGGCAAAAGAGGCGAAGCCGTGCATGGCGTCGGCTGGTGCTCACCGGATATCAATTCCATCAACTGCGCAATATGCGTTGCCGTAATAAGTAAGAACCTCCTAAATAGCTGCAAATATCACTTATGTGGCTCTACCTGGTCTGGTGACTCTTGCTACCTTGAGTATGACTAGCTGGATATATGGCTTAACATATATTGATTGGGAGCATAGGCTCTGACCACGATTTGATCTTGCATATATATGCAATATGGTTGTGTGTGTAATTTCTAGAATAATTAAGTTCTATATAAGGAGTCGTCTTTTGTGTTTGATTTTATATCAATATGTGACTGTTATGTTTTTAGATTTGGTCTTCATCGAAGGATACAAATTTCTATTCATATTGTTTGTAAGTTATAGATATATATTAGAGGACTAAATGGTCTTAAAATCTTGTATGCTTACAAACAAAATGGCTAGTTGATGCCAAGAAACAAACGAACCTAAGTTCACACAACTTTAAGGTGATTAAATTACTTAAATGCTAAACACATATAATCCATCTTAAAGAAACAACATTAGCCATTCAATGGTGTGTTTCAGGGGATATACTAAAATTATTGAAATGCCACTTAAAAAAATTATAGAAAGATCAATATACTTCACATGAAGGGACCTTAACCTAAACTTTTTTTTTTTTGTTGGGTTAAAACTCACCGACTAACAAACGTGTTAATTTCAAAAGATGTATAAGTCCTTAAAAGAATCATGCTCTTTGATGCTCAAAGAGCTACAAAAAAGATAAAAAAGAAACCTAATGAGTCAATGATCTCAATTACAATACAAGATAAAATGCATAAAGGAAAAGAAAACCTAGCAAAGAACAATGACAGCGAAGAAGCCAAGCCCAAAAAATGAAGATGTTCCATCTCCAGAGCCAAAGCTTGATATAAATGAAGATTGACCACGATAAAGAAGCAACATCCTTATAGACACCAAAAGACCAAATCTGCGACGATATGAATCTATGTCGGCAAAAGAAAGAGCTCAACAAACCAAAGAGTTAATCATCCAACAAAAACAATAACACCAAAAAATAGACCATACCACCTAAATGATCGAACCAGCAGAAGGAACATCAACCAAAGGGAAGAATCCGACAATGCTTTCACAAACAACCAAGAGAGCAACAATCACCCAACCTCAAGAAGGAGAACAAAAAATATCCAAAAGACCAACTGCAACAAATACAATAGCAAAAATGAATGATCCGACAAATACTAGAGAATTTCTAGAATTGCAATATTAAATTAATGCAACACCTGGACTAAGTTAAAGAAATAGAACCGAGGCCCACCAAGCTAACAAGCCCAATAGGAAGGAAGCAATAACCATTAACAGACCACAACCTAATCAGGTCACAACCCAAAAATAATATAGAAGACACAAACTAAAGAAGACTCAAATAAAATTAACTGATGGAAAGACCCATCCACAAACCTAGCCAGCATAAACTCTCAGAAGACAAAACCTTCCACGAACCAAAAACTTAGAACAAACCACCACGAAAAAAGAAAAACCCTCAACAAAAACGAGAAAGATCCACCAACCCAGCCACAAACCAAAACCCCAAAAAGATTATTTCAATATGATGTAAGGGAAACCAATGCTATCCATCTTCACCATTCCTTAATATCATGAAGATTATTCGTGCTAAGATAAGTCCTAGAGTTAGAAATCGAATTGGGCTTTTTAGCAAACTAATCTGCAATCATGTTGCCCTCTCTCCAAATATGAGAGATGATATATTGAAACTGCTACAAAAGATGCATAATTTTTTTGAACAATAGTATAAAGAAGTGTTATTAAAAGACTTTTTAGACATAAGAGATACCAACAATTTAGAATCCAACTCAATCCAAATGTTTCACCATACATTTTAGCCTTAATGACAGAACATTTGGGAATCTAAGAAGCAAAAGCAAGAACAAAACCCCATTTAGAATCTCTAATAATACATCCACACCCAAGAGCACTTATATTAATAGAACCATTAATGTTAACCTTATATTGATTTAAAATAGGCTTCCTCCAACAAATAAATAATAGGGTAACCATAAAATCTATTATTACAATGGAATAAGTTAAAGAAAAGCATCCCAAGAAGAATTGCCCTATAAATGCTTAATTTTCAAAAGATTTGCAGAAAGTAGTTGGTGAATTTTATTTTTGAGACCAATGATAATTCCGTCAGCATTCATTTTAATGCCTTTGTTCTTATTATTATTCCTCTCTATTCATAAAAGCCAAAAAATAATTATATGAACAATAGTAACAATGTGATTCTTATTGTGATTAAAAAACTAATTTTGGAGTATATCCAAACAATTAGAAATATTGAGACTAAAGTTAATATTAAGAGCCATAATCTAATAAAACCCAAACTCTATAAGTAATAGGGCCATTAAGGAAAACATGATTAAAAGGTTACACATTAGCTCAACATTGGCATTAAAGGGAATACAAAAACCTTTTTTTTTAAGTCTCTCATAAATAAGAATGAAGCCTTTGACAAGCCCCCAATTAAATAACGATATATTAGTAGGAGTACTCAATGAATTCCAAATTTTTGCATGTTGTGAACCTTCTTACCTCTAAAACCATTCCAAATCTCATTAACATTGACATTGCCATTAGTGGAATGCTTAAAGATGATAAGATCATGAGTATGCATATTTATAAAAATCTTATAAATAACATTTAGGAATATACTCCAAAAGATGGTTTCTATTCCATCTACTATTCAGAATAAATTGAGAAACCTTAAGGTTACTTATAGAGTGAGTATTATATAAAGAATCTAAGGAGCCAAAACTCATCCAGTCATCTTACCATAAATAATAAGAACCATTAGTAATACCCCATTAGAGATGATGCTCCCCAATCTATTTGATTTTGCACATTCTAGCCCAAGTAGAAGAGTAACCATTCTTAAAGAAACATTATGTGGGGTGAAAATTCTTATAGTATTTATGGTTCATATACCTGGCCTGAAGAGTATTATTGCTTCAAAATTTCAATCCTAGTTTACAGAGAAGCATTTAACCATATCAAAAATTGATTTGCAACCAAAACCCTTCTCACTAAAAGGTATGCAGCACAACTTCCAAGAAGCCCAATGGATCTTCTTATTATCCTGGGAAGAGCCCCAAAAAAATTTATTGATAAGCCTATCTAATGTCATAGAGCAAACCTCCAAAGAAGCATTTAACCATATCAAAAATTGTTTTAAACCTCTTGAAAGATATTCACCAATAATGATAAAAAGAGCAAGAGATATAGGATCACCTTATCTAACACACTATTCAACTTTAAGGAAATAATGAGATTTGTCATTCAAAATAATAGAGAATCAAACATTCTCAATGATATTCCTAAATAAAGAAATGTATTCATTATTAAAACAAAAAAGATCTAAAATTTTCATTATAAAATCCTAATTAATGTTGTCATAAGCTTTAGATATGTCTAATATCAAAAAGATATTATGACCAGGAACTTCAAGATTAATATCATGAATAAATGCTTGAGTAATCAAGATATTATCAGTAATGCATCTACCTTTAACAAACCCTATCTAATTTTAAAAAAATAATATTAGGTAGAATGGAGACCATTCTAGAAGCCAGAATTTAGAAATAATTTATGAAAAGTATTGCATAAGCTAATAGGCCTAAAATTATTCAATTTTTAGGGCTGACGCATTTGGGAATCAAAATAATATAAGTGTTGGAAAAAAAATTAGGAATAGAATAACCTTTGCAAAAAGATTGAATAGCCTTACAAAGGTCACCCTTAATAATATTCCAACATGTGTGCTAAAACTTAGAGGTGAATCCATCAGACCCCACAGCAGAGACCTTATTCAAACTCATAATAATATTAAAAATCTCATTCTTGTCAGGAGTTTTGTGAAGAAGAGAATTATCCTCACTAGAAATAAGCTTGGGAATAACTTAAGGACAAAATTAACCGTAAAATTAGATATAGCTTAGAGAATTGAAGAACTCTAATCTTAATCCAATATGTGGTGTTGACAATCTATATCAATAAATGCACTGATGCCACTATTGTATGTGAAGTAGATTTTGCTAAAGAAATAGAAGATATACTAGTTTTTTTTTTTTTTTTAATACTATAGGGGTGCGCCTGCCATGGCTTTAGTGCAACGCTAAGGCGACGCTCGAAGACCCTTGTAGCAAGCTGCTAGAATGGGCCCTCCCTAAAAAAAAATAATTTAATATTATAGTGAGCCAATGGTCAACGTATCAGATATTAAACTGATAAGAACATATACTACACATGATCTTAACCAAAAGGCCGAGAAAGGTATAGAAGATATACTAGTTTCTTATTTCTCGTCATCGCTGGTTATTTCTCGTTATATGCGTAGCTAAAATCTAGTGTGATGTATAACCTCGACGGAGAAATACAAGAATAACCAGGAATATTAAAATAGTATGTTTGCATACCTAGACATGATATAAAATATGCTAGATTCTTAAGGAGATGCTATAACTATAGGAGTTCAACATATATTCTTTTTACCCCTACAAACTAGACAGAGATCTAGGGATGCATATGCTCTAAATTATAAGAGTTTCATTAAGAAATATATGCAATTTATATTAATCAATAAAAAATATTATATCCCTTATTTTTTACTAGTTTAGTCAATGATTGAATCTCCACAACCAATATTATTATTTCAGTAGGATAATTTTATAATTAGATTAAATGGTAGTAGTTGATTGCTTAAAAGCATACTTTCTCATGGATTGGATGCTCTATTATTTCACTTTATTATTTGATTTGGCATATATACTTGTGTATATTAAGAGAGGTTTGTTATTTTTTATATATTAAAGAAAATTTAAGTATTGTTTAGGAGAGATAAAGCTTTAAACATCTATTGCTAACTTGTTAAGTATAAATCACGGTACAAAGAATAACACCATTCTTCCTCTTTAAAAATATTGCTTCTAAAGAATTTATGACTATAGTCATTCTTAATTTTAAATAATTATCATGACTATTATTCTTGGAGTTATTTTGAGATGCATGAATGAGCTCTTAAAAAAATCTCTCACAAGTTATAATTTAGTCCTTTTATTCCACCAGTTAAGCAAGTACTTAGGATGATGCATCCAAACCTTGAGAAGTTATTTATTGAGGGAACTAAAAAAACTAATTTATATAGTGTTCATTCTAGAGGATTTGTATCCTACCTAGCTTGACAGTATCATCCTTGTTTAAAAGAAAGGTAGAGAAATCAAAATTTATTTGATCGGGTGACTTGAATATTACATGTCTAAAGGATGAGTTTTCTTTGTCTATCATATGCTAATGGTTGATGTCAAGCTAGGTAGGATCTCCAATGGTATCAAATTCTTGAGTAATGAATCAATATGATATGATCGATTGGGCATAGAGCCCTCTGTTAGTTAAGGTGGATTCAAATTTGTCTCCTTAGAGAAACATGTACTCCATGCATACCCTTGGACGAAGCAACCCATGGATAGGGATAATTATTTCCTTGGACGACATAACCATAAGATTTTGATCGGTTTCATCATCATTCTACGCCCCCCCCAGGTCTGTGCAAGATGGTAAATTTTCAATTTTAAATATTAAAATTCTAAATACCTAAATCATTCTGCTACTATATGCTAGATACTTTGTATCTGTTTATCGACTATCATTAATCAAAAGTTTTTTCTCATTATCGGGAGGGTAATTAACTATATGAGATTGCGCCTACAAGAAACCTGGCCTGAACTCAGATCATAAAGTCCTCACAAAATGAGAGCAAAATCTCTGAGTAATGTCTAATTCAAAACTCAATATTTGCCTTCTAAAAATTAGCCTCAAAACTTAAACACTAATACTCTCCTCGACGATCCGAAAGAAAGAAAGGGATCCGCCGAGAAACCGGGACCCAAATTTTCGGAGACCACAATATTTTTCAAATAAAAATATTCTTGTATCAATCACATGCATGTTGCCATAATTTTTTCTTCCAGTTGTATACGCGGTTTAAGATCATAGTTTTAAAATTTTCGCCAGCTTTCTCAACAACTTGGCTGATTATATAAATATCAACATAATCTCACTGGCCTTCACTAAGTATATTTATTTACTCGCCGGCCTCCACGAAAGCCTTCCAGCTTCCAGTCCACTAAATTTATTACTCCTCATATTAATCTTCCTTGTCAATATAAGGAGGAGAAAGCTCACATTCAAATTAAGCAGCAAAACTTGAGAAAACAGCAATGGCTTTTCCTCGCCATCTTCTGCTATTTGTTCTTCTACTCGCCTTCGCTAACTGCTACAATACCATTTGTGGAGATTTAATCAAAGACCGCTGCATATTATCCAATATCAAGACCGTTGTGTCATCCTCGTCAAATTGACTCCCATACACTCATATTATCGGTACTCCTATGGCAAAAGAACCAAAGTCGTGAATGGCCTCGGCTGGGGCAAACTATTACTTTCGGTGTCCGGATTCGTCCGGACACCTATCTAGACACATCACGTCATTAAAATGCACCGGGCCCCGGTGTATTTGGATGATGTTGCACGTCTGGATTGGATGTTCGGACGTCCGGTGACCGGATGTAATAATTCGCCCTCGGCTGGTGCTCTCCCAGCGTTTACTTCATCAGTTGCTCAAAATGCCTTAACATGTTAGGTAATAATATCCTGGGAGCTTGCCAAGGTTCCATATATGCTATCTCCTGGTCTGATGAGATTTGCTACCTCGAGTATAAAACTGCTAGAAAACATTAAGGTTTGGTTTGGAATAGCTTTTCACTACGATAATAAAAAAATGGTATCAAAAGAAAGCCTTTTCATTTGGGATGGCTTTCTTATTGTTAACAGATAAGCAAGAATGAAACGCACTTACAGCAAGGTCGTGTTTGGCCGTTATTTCGGTTGTAACTTGTACGACTGATCTCTGTGTAAACATCTATAAATATGCATTGTAAATACTGAAATAAATTGATCTATTTGCTTCCAATCTTTATTGTCTTCTTCTCTGTTTTCTTGACAACTGCTAGCTTAATAGCACTGTAGTTTTCATGGTATCAGAGCTTAGCAATCAAGATTAACGATTTTTTTCTCTTCTCTCTGTATCTTCAAGCTCTACCACAACAAATCATGGCTAAATCATCCACTCAATCACCGACGATGGATTCAAACTCCTCCATTATTTCTATAACCATTCCGGCCACCTCAACTCAAGTTTTTGATGAGCAATATCAAGAATCTTGTCCCAAACCCATTAACGTCTGGCAATTACTCAATCTGGAGCTATCAAGTGGAGAAGGTTTTCACTGCAAACGGATTTAAAGGATTTCTCGACGGCACATCTACGTGTCCACAACAGTCCTCTGCTCCAGACGAATGTCCGCAACCAGTTTTCCAACTTCGTACAGCAACTGGGTACTTACCGATCAAAACCTCGCTGTTGCATTATATTCAGTAATTTCATCGTCCATCTAGTTGTATGTTCTCACTCTAACACATTGCCACGCAATATGGACCACCCTTACACATCGTCTTCAAGCTACCAATCGCTCTCGGGTCATTCAATTAAAGAATGAATTACATCATCTATCGAAAGGCAACAAAACCATGACGCAATATCTACTCGATGTAAAATCGAAGGTGGATGCTATAACAACAACCGGCAACACGATCGATCCTGAAGACGTGATCCTCTACACATTAAACGACCTTCCCTCCTCCTATCAGTTGTTTAAAACAACGATAAGAACAAACCTGCAACCGATAAATTTAGATGATCTCTACAGCTTACTATGCTGCGAAGAACAGATACTAAATAATGAGGCAACACGAGATCTTCAGTCCTTAAATATATCAGACAATTACATAGCTCTTGCTGCTCCTCGTGGTCGAGGATGAGGAAGATACAATAATAATTCACAAGGAAACAGATGCCGTCAATTGTTGTCATTGTCCGAATGGGGAGATCGGGGAGACAGAAACCCACATCGTAATACCATCTGCCAGATATGCAGTAAAACAGGTCTCTCGACCATTCAATGTTCGTACCGGAACGATTCAACATACACAGATACGGGGCACAATACTGCATTGTTCAGCTCATCTGATATGACTCCTCAATTAGTTTGGTTTCTTGACAACAGGGCATCAACGCATCTCACAACCGATTCATCTCAACTAAGTGCAACTGAACCTTATACATGCTCTTCTCAAGTGGTTATTGGCAATGGGCATCAACTTCCAATTCAAAACACTGATCGTGCTCTTCTACCTACACCCACAGCTCGCTGCTGATAATAACTGTGTCATATCATTCTCTTATGACGTCTACGAAATAAAGGATTTGAAGACTCATCATGTTCTGCTTCAAGGGCCTTGCCATAATGGATTGTACAAAGTTCATACCACCTCTCCACACCTAGCTTTGCTTTCAGACGAAACTATCCCTGACCAGTGGCATAATCGTCTCGGGCATCCAACTACCTCTACACTATGGAATTTACCTCACAGTTATTCAAATATATGTACTTCTTTTTCCAATACAGATAATTACCATTTTCTAAATCCACTTCTTCTACTACGGAGCCATTTCAATTAGTTCACTCTGATATATGGGGTCCTTCTTCCTCTACTTCTGTACAAGGTCATCGATATTATATATGTTTCCTTCATTGATGATTATACCAGATATAGTTGGGTCTTTCCGTTGATTCAAAAATCTGAAGTTGCTCGCACATTCATAAATTTTCAGCAAAGTGCTCAATGTCAATTCAATCGAACTATTCAAACCATCAGAACAGATGGTGGTGGAGAGTACCTAAATAATAATTTCAAATCTCACTGTATCAACCATGGTATCAATTATCAATTCACTTTTTTGCACACACCTTCTCAAAATGGTGTTGCAGAACGAAAGAATCGACATATCATTGAAATGAACAGATCGAAGTCTTCTAATTCATTCAAATTCTCCTTCCAATCTCTGGGTAGAAGCATTACTTATTGCCATACATTTAATCAATCGACTGCCTACACCCACCCTTCAAAACAAAACACCATTCAAAAAATTGTACAACAAACCTCCCACTTACACACATTTGAAAATCTTTGGATGTATATGCTATCCATGGTTGAGATCCTATGCTAAATCAAAATTATCTCCACTCTCAATACAATGTGTGTTCATTGGATATGCTCAAACACAAAAAGGGTATAGATGTCCACTACAGGAAAAATGGCTATTACCGGCGGTTTATGGACCGCCGGTGTTACCGGCAGTCTAGCCGGCGGTTAAACCGCCGTCGTTTACCAGCGGTCTACCGGTGTTTTTTATACGTTAAACCACCGGTATTAAATGAGGTCTGAAAACCGCCGGCAAACCGCCGGATTATATTATTCACCGGCGGTTTAACTGCGGCCGGACCGCCGTTGATAAGTGATTTTGTACCGGCGGTTTAGACCACCGGTAAACCGGCGGTTTAGACCACCGGTAAACCGGCGGTTTAAAACGCCGGTAAACCGCCGGTTAGTGCCCTAAAATGACCAGGCCCGCAACTCACATTTCATTCTTTCTCGCGTTCTTTCTCTCTCGTTTCCCTCGCCTCCGCTCGCCTCTGCTCGTCCGACCGCGACCGCGACCGACGAAGGTTCTCCGACCGCCGCCGACGAAACCTCTCCGACTGCCGACCCAGATCCGACCGGCACTCCGACGTCCGACCTCGCTGACCCAGTCCGACCCCAAACCGACCGCCGACTTCAAGTTTTCAACCTAGATTTCTATTTTAAGGTATATTTTATGTTTTTTCTTTGATTATTTCTTCTCACTAGACATAAGCAAGTGTTAGAGTTATTTTGGATGATTTAGATAGTAAATGTTGTAATAATTTTGGTAGATCTAAATTCGCCTGTAACCGGCGGTCTAAGCCGCCGGCAATTCGCCGCCATAATAAACCGCCGGTGAAAGTTTCCTACGCGATTTTTACCGGCGGTCAAAAAACCGCCGTCAAGCCGCCGGTAAGGCAAAAATCGCCGGTTAATATAGAGTAACCGCCGGATTTCGACATTTTTCTTGTAGTGGTCTAGATCCCATAATAAATCGTGTTTATGTGCCTAGACATGCAATGAGAAAATCTTCCCATTCAAGCATATTCAGTCAAGTTCTACTCATTCAATAACTACACTTCACTCTAACAACATTCCATCATTGATGTTAGTTCCTACTATAACTTCCAGAACTTCGTAGTCCACACAAACATCTCCCACACCATCACTTTTAGCTACTACATCACTCAGTTTACCTTCCAATTCTCCCATGCCAATATCACCTCCATATATAGAAAAATCAACGGTTCAGGCACACCCTATGAAAACTCATTTACAAACATGTCATCCCAGGCTAAAACAAGTATTTGATCTTACTCATCAGCTTATTGACGCCGATCCAACCACATACACAGAAGAAGTCAAACATGAACATTGGCGTGCGGCTATGTCGCAAGAGTTTCAAGCTCTAAAATTACAAGGCACATGGGAATTAGTTCAATTATCCCCTGATCAAAATCTCCTTGGATGTAAATGGACATTCAAAACGAAACACAATTCAGATGGAACACTTGCCCGACACAAAGCAAGACTTGTTGCGTTGAGTTGTCATCAGGAGTTTGGATGGGATTACATGGAAACGTTTTGCCCGGTTGCTAAAATATCTACAATTTGTATCTTGCTAGTTATTGTTGTACATCACAATTGGCCCATACATCAATTAGATGTATCAAATGTATTCCTACATGGCCACTTATCGGATTTATATAAAGCAACCAATAGGCTTTATTGATGAAAATTATCCCACTCATGTATGCAAGCTTAAAAAGGTCATATATTGCCTCAAACAAGCACCATGACAGTGGTTTGAAACCTTAATTGGATTTCTTCATGATTTGCATTTCACTACCATCCACTCAGACTCCTCTCTATTGATCTACAGGCACAATGGCAACATCATTAATTTCCTATTCTATGTTGATGATATTATACTAACCGGCAATAATAATTAGTCAATTGCTAAACTTCTAAACAAACTACACCAGCGATTTCATATGTGAAATTTAGGCACACTAAAATAGTTTCTTGGCATAACAGCAGAAACTACACCAACTGGACTAATTTTGCATCAAGCCAGATATGCAGAATGTAATCTGGAGAATGCAGGAATGTCAAATAACAAGTCAGTTTCAACTCCCATTAGCCTCAAGACAGCCCTTAAAATAGATTCACCTGCCTTTACCAATCCAAAATTATATCGCCAATTGGTTGGAGGGCTTCACTATCTCACACTTACAAGACCAGATATCACATATGCAGTCAATAAAACTTGTCAACACATGCATCACCCAATTGAATTTAATTTTAAATCTCTCAAAAGGATTCTTTGTTATCTATGCGGTTCTCTACAGGTTGGTCTAGCAATCATAGCAGGGTATCTCATGCTAAGCTCATACACAAACTTGGACTAGGCAGGGGATCCTCAAGACAGAAAATCAACAACAGGATAATGTAACTTCTTAGGCTCTACTCCCATCCATGCATGGTGTGCAAAGAAACAATCAACTATGGCAAGGTCATCTATTGAAGCAGAATATAGAGCTATAGCTTCGACAACAACTGAAATTATATGGCTTAGAAGATTGCTTCAATAACTTGACAACAACCCACCAAAATATATTGCGATAACACATCAGCAATTGCCTTAGCCAACAATCCGGTTTACCATACTTGAACCAAACACATAGAGATTGATTGTCATTTCATTAGAGAATGTATTAAAAATCAATCCATACAAGTTAATCACATTGCTTCAAAAGATCAACTAGCTGACCTGCTCACTAAATCCCTATACATATCTCATTTCAATTATCTTGCTAGCAAACTCACTGTCCTAGTTGTGCCATCAGTTTGCAGAGGTAAGTTAACATATAAGCAAGAATGAAATGCACTTACAGCAAAGTCATATTTGGCCATTATTTCGGTTGTAACTTATACTGCTGATCTCTGTGTAAACATCTATAAAAATGCATTGTAAATACTGAAATAAAATGATCTATTTGCTTCCAATCCTTATTGTCTTCTTCCCTATTTTCTTGATAGCTGCAAGCTTAACAGCACTGCAGTTTTCACTTATTACTCTCTTAAATAATATTTTAGAATAAAAATTTATTCTTTATACTAAAATATTTACTATCGGAAAATCACATATTGCCGGTAGATTTTCAGACAGAAATTTGCTCATTTTCCAGCAGATTTGAAAGTTTCCGGTGAAAAATTTTTCTAATGTAAAACGCGCGTCGGAAAAATTTTTTGGCAGAAAAAAGCCACAGGAACATTTTTCCACCGGAATAATTTAAATATATATATATATATATAGCCCACAGCGGCTACCGCTCGAGCTGCCCGCTGCCCCGCTACTTCTTGCGCTGTCCGACCTACCCTCCCGTGCTACCTGTCTGCCCTACTGGCTCCCGCACTGCTCGGCCTACCCGCACGAGTTGCCCTACCGCCAGCCCCACTGCCCCTCTACGCGCGTGACCAGGGATTTGAACATAGGTCTCCCCCCACTTAAACTATAATAATACGTAAACTATGATAATACGGAAATATAAAATTCAAAATAAATTATAATAAAATATATAATTTAAAATGAAATAAAATAAAATATATAAATTAATAATTAATTAAAATAAGTTATTAAATTAATGAATAATTATACTAAGTTAATAAATTAATAATTAATTAAAATAAATTATTTAATTACTAATGAATTAAAATAAATTATAAAATTTGAAATTTAATTAAAATAAATTACTAAAAATCTGCTTCGATACTCAAGAAATCCGCCAGAAATTACATCTAGAAACTCCGCCAGAAAAATATGTTGGAAATATTTCATTCAATCTGTAAAAAATCCGGGGGAAATTTCGATGGAAAATATTCCGCCAGAAAAATTAATCGGTAATGAAATATTTTATTGCAGTGATTGTTGTAAAAAACAATAAGAAAGTTGTCCCAAATAAAATCTAAGTGTCGCCCATCTTAGCTTGTTGATTAAGAGCTTAAGTTATATTGCTAGAATGCTAGCTATTCAAAAGATTTTGAATTATGGATCTTATATGTGCATTGTGTGTAATTTCAAAAATAAATTAGCTGTGCAAGTAGTCTTTTCTTGTCTTGTCTTTGAATGTATGTCAACGTGAGTATTATGTATTAAGGTTTGTTCTCCATAAATAGACTGAAATCTCCATTCATATTTTACATTAATTAAATATAAATTCTAAGAATATAAACAAAAAAAAGGTCTTTTATTTTTTAGTGAGATCATTATTATTTTTTATTTAATGAACAATTAATTATCGAAGTATGAGTTACATATACGGTAAGAACATCTAAAATATCGTATTTGAAATTGCTCCGGATATATTATCAAGGTTTTGTTTGGGACGGCTTTTTACTGACTTTTAAAGCAGCTTTCTAGTATAAAAATTTATTTATTGTAGTAGAAAGCTGTTTTAAGAAGCAATAAAATAGCTATCTCAAATGAATTAAAAAACTACACCATAATCTCTATTTATTTGTAATTTGATTAGTAATAGCACCAAAAAAATTTACATGGTTGTTTGATTTCAATATACACATACATACACATCAAGCCAACAATCGAACTAGCTAGAAATTAACTATTGAGAATTTTTCTCACAAACTCTTTACTTATTGATGATATAGCCTACACTTCAAAGTGTCTTGGAGGGTGAGTATTACCTAAACACTGAAGCCTTAAGAACTTTGATAACCCCTCACTTTAATATGAGAAAATCAACCAAAAATTATCTTGAACTCTCATGGAGACTTAATCGCTATGTCTTGAAAATAAATACATAGACAAATTTAATTATAATATTCTAATAAGAAAAATCACTCACTAAAGCTTTATTTGAGATGGCTTTTTTATTATTTCTTAAAACATGGTTTTAATACAAAAATCAAATTAAAAAAAAAAAAAACTGCTTTAAAAAACAGTAACAAAATCAACGAAACCTAACGCTTCTACATATTATAGATCCCAACAATGAATCCACGAGATTGATGATGAACTCTTGAGCATAAAACAAATTTTCCTCTCTTAACTCTTTTCCTTAAAGATTTTACATGAAGCAACAATAGGGTTCATCATTATAATGGTGAAAAAATGTCCAAAATGAAGTCTAAATTAAATGAGTCATGTTCTAGCTTAAAGCATGCAATAGCGGTCTCCACGTCAAGGCCTTGTCCCCAGTTAATATGGGGACTAGTTTTGCATTGTCACCCATTAAGTATTTATACATATTGAGAATTTATTTACACATCACATATTAATCAAGTTCGAGGCCTAGCCACCACTGGTTTTGATCTTGTGCTTGTTAATTAATTGAGCACAAGCCATTTATTAAGGCCAATCAGAACCAGCACACGGGTGGGCTTGGCTCACTTACACCCCTAACAAGTATTTCTTTAGGTGAAAATTTCATAATGATTGAAATTATATACAGTTTGATTTCCTTGCATAATTGTCGCATCGCAGTTGAAAACTGCTGGTATTGGTTACTTCAAAGAAAGTATTAAGAAAGATGTCACAAACGAAGCCTTCATCTCTACCTACCTTACAGCTGTAAAGGCATTGCGTGTTCTCTGTGTAAACACAAAATTATCTGTTGTAGACCCTATATATATGCATCTCTCATATACAATAACAATAAAGCATGCAACACACTTCATTCTATTGGTTGAAGTTTTGGCTACCAATCAGAAAGTTTTGGGTTCAAGTCTTACGTATGTGATGCCTGTTTTCTTTAAATAAATGTAATAAACCAAAACGTGCTTGCTTCTTTAGGTTACCTTGTAGGTTCATCTCACCAAAACATTCAATCCGACCATAAATTTATTGAAATTGGAGTTCAAATGATTCTGAATCAGACTTCATAAGCTTTTAAATCTAATATGCATCGAGATTCATACGTGATCAAATACATTTTCTAAAATATATAGATATATATTAATTAATATATCAAATCTAGTCAAGATTACACAAATATAGAAGATAATATACAAAACATGATAGACCAATATACCCTTGTATAATTGTGTTAATCACAATCTAAATATATTACACCACAAGATAAGGACCAGTCATTTATAATCCAAATATATTACACTCATACGTTATGCCTATCTCATTTGCTTCTACGAGCGAGGAAGACTCACCTGCTTCTTCTACGAGCAGGGAAGACTTTTCTTTATCTTATAGACGAGCGAGATTTTCTTGAAATTTATTCAAAGAAGGCAGCTTTCATGCAATAAGCAACATTTGAATATTCCGCAAAAAGAAATTAAAAAATTAAAAAAATAATGACATGTTATAATATATAAATGATTTAGGATCCGTTTAGGATAGTTACATGATTTTATAAAAATTATGAAATTGTTGTAGAGAAAATAATTTCGCTACTGTGGTCGCAGAAAGTACTTTTAGATTTATGAAAAGCAGTAAGAAAGCAACAAAAATATAGTAGTCAAATGAAATTGTGATTGCACTCTGAAAAGCAAAGCAATAGCTAGAAAGCTATCACAAACAGACCCATAATCAACTTGTTTTATTATATTAGAATATCATGATATAAATTATATTAGAAGAAGCTTAAAAATTTGAATTTATTTTGATATTAATATGGTTTAATTGTTCTGATGCAACTCTAATCTTAAAGCAAAAACCAACGATTCTCATGCACGTCTATCCTTGAAATCATTGAATTTATTTTGAGAATAATATATTACAAATTCTTCTTATGCAGCACTAATTTTAAAGCAAATCCAACGATTCTTATGCCTGTTATGATGTAATTTGTATAAAAATATCCTGACATCATTTTAGATTGTAAATTGTATGGGGGCTTAGAGATCTTCAGATTTTCAGATGTATGATTTTATGCAAAAGAATATTTAAATATAAATATGAGAGATTTACTTTGAAAAAACTAAATTAACTGATAACTTAAATTATATGAATTAGAACACCACTTACTGTTAAGTATGCAATTTCTTTTTAAATCAGTAACATTTTTGTCTTACTTGCAATTTTATAGAAATGCCTCAAATGAATTTAGTTTTTATTTTATTTATTTTTTTGATATGTTTGAGGCAATTAAGTCAAACTCACACACACGCAAGCTACAAACTCAATACCTCTTGATCGGTAGCCAAAACTTCCAATGAACAGACCAAGGTACGCTGCGTCAAATGAATTTTGTATGTTTCATTTTGCTAGAAAGTTGAAAAGTGCATGATGGGAATTTTTCATAGAATTGAGGGATTTAAATGTCCTCTCTTGATTTTTTTTGGGGGGGGGAATATTGAGCAGCATGGAGTTTCAAATGAACACTAGGATTAGATCCCAATGACCTTCCTTAACTAGTTGGTGAGAATGATTGATTTTAATTTAAGTCTAGGAGATCAAAATTTTGCATGGGGACTTGATGTCCAATAATGTTTTAGATTAAAGATATTTTGTAGTTCTGTCATCCCACTTCAGCTTCGTAGGCTTGCTCTATGTAATAATGATAGAGGGTTGGAATATCATGTCATGTAGAGAGTCTCATTAGTAGCCATGAACAGTTTCATATCATGTATCCATAGTAGATCAGCTGGCAACATAATGAAGGGTATATCACTTCAAAGTTAGGCCCATACTTCATCTTGGATGAAGAAAAGGTTTAAATGGATATGGCTAACTATGGTTCATAGGTTCAAGGATGTGATCATTGTTAACCTAAACATGAATGAAAAAAAAAAGTATGCACAAATCCAACACCTGCCTGAAGTCATGCTTCGCACATCTTCGTTACTTCGTACGTCGAATAGCACCTCCCACGATCTTCGCACGTTTCACCACAATATCTTATGCCCTTGTCGTTAAAATGAAGACCAACGATGCTTCATTCTTCTTTTTCCTCCCACACATGCCCCCTCTACTCTCTGTCGAACTTCCCAAGCCGATCAAATCTCCACCTTCTCCCTCGATTCCACGAGCTCGCTACCTCTTTGTCCAATCTTCCTCCCTTCTTCTCTTCGACAACACCTTGCAAGCTGCAACTCTCCTTTGTCGACATTCCTGATCACTTCAGGGCTCGCAATCAGACCTCCACAAACACTCTGAACTATTTACCCATCACCAGTGTCAAAACCTTACACGTCCATAATGATGGGGGTAGTGGAGTAACCTAAATAATTATAAAAATTATTTAAGACTATCAATCCCTAAACAATACTTAAGTTTTCTTTGATATAAAAATTATAAAAACTACTCTCATTATCCATAAGTATACACGTTGAATCAAGTAATATAGTGATAGTGTAGAGTATCAATTCCGTAAGGAAGAATGTTTACTTGTACGTACTAACATTGTCTACTTCAACTACAACAATTATCATACTCAATAAAAATAAATTTTGGTGAAGATTTAATCACTTAATTCAAAATAAAAATAATTAAATGAAATATTATTTGGATAAAATATTTTGGATTGAGAGAATATAAATATAATATATTTCATAATAATTCTATTTTATATTGATATTATTCATAACATATATATCACCAACCGCTTAGTCAAGCGTGAAGAGACAAAAGATAGATTAAACCTTCCAACTTCAATACCACTATAAACTCTCATATTTTGTCACCCTATGAGAATCTTAAAAGAGTAAGTAAAACATGTACTGTTAAAATCCTCTCATGACAATTTATCTCTATAAATTTGATATATAAATAAAAGTATAAATATACATGCAAGTATGTAAGCATGATATAAGAAATGTATATGCAATCGTATACCGACATAGGCCCCAACGAGCATGTTATAGGTACACACATGACGTTTGAGAATACTGCGCAGGTCAAGAAATGAATCTAAGTTTGAACATAATCCTTCTATACATGTACATGGGAATCAACACGGCTCAAACTATCAAATAAATATATGATTGGCATATCGACTGGGATGTTTATTCCATACTTTCATATTATGCCTTCAAGGCCCTCAAAAAGAAAGATTCATTGATAAAAGCTAAAGCTGGCAATGAACCTGATCTTCTATCAGTAATTAGACAAAGCCGATAAGGTTCACCCAATAATTAAAAAAATGTCCCCTCCTAAATATCCACATGGACCCCAACGAGCGTATTATAGATACACATAACGTCTGAGGATGATGCACCGGTCAAATGATGAATTTAAGTTTGAGCCCGATCCTTATATGCTAGTAGATAGAAGTTGACACAGATCAAACTATCAAACAAGTATACGACCGCGATGTCAGCTGAGATATTTATTTCATACATTTATATTAGACCTTCAAGGTCGATAAACAGGAAAACTAATTAGCAAAGTCACAAAGCCTACAATAAATTTGAACCTATGTTGGAAAGTAGACAGAGTCGCATGAAATAAATTGCCCATGAACACCCCAATGATGGCCATATTGAATATAAATTTCAACCATAGGGGTTAATTATAAAAGATCTATCAAAGGCACAAAGCCTACAATAAACCCAACCCTCTGTTAGAAAGTAGACAAGTCAACAAGGTTTAACCATTAAATTTAAAAAGCCCATACGCCCCAATGATGGACGTGTTGAACATAAATCTCAACCAGAGGGGTTAACTGTAAATATTTTAAAATGCCTACAAAATTCCTATGAAATCCAAATTCTAAAAAATCATCCAAGATCAAAATATTTAAAATTGAAATCAATCACCAAAATGCTTAAAGTAAAATCCATTCACCCTTCGTATTAATTGTCGAAGTGTACAAATTCAAATATCACTTCAACTCAAAAAGAGCTAATGTCTGGTTGAGAATAACACTAGGATTCATTCTCAAGCAATCTCTTGCCAGTAAAGACATGGCATATGTCCTCTAATTGGTTGTTTCACAATCAAATGGCACCGTTGATAAACGATTATAATCGAGGCCCTTTGAATCAGGGGGTTCGCTGCCAAACAGCACCACTAAATTAAGGTTATGGCCAGAGTCTGTAAGCTCCCCAATGACACTAAATCCTTGATATATGAATCAATATGATATGATCGATAAGGCATGAAGCCCTCTGTTAGCTAAAGTGGATTTAAATTTGTCCTGTTAGACAAATATTCACCACAAATCAACGAGGTACCCTTGGATGATACAACCCAAGGTTGTTGATAAGGATCCTCCGATCAAGTTGGGTCGACTATCTTCTTTGACTAAGTAGACCAGGAACCATGATGACCCGGGACAATGGAACCATGAGATCTTGATAGAGCTCATCATCACTCTCCCACCATCCGTTTTGTACAAGATGGTGAAATTTTTAGTTTTAAATATTAAATTTTCAAATATCAACCCATGCTTCTAATATATGCCCGATATGTATCTATACGTATATGATTGACGACTAGTCTTAATTGAAAGTTATCTCTCATTACCGGGAGGAGTAATTAACTATAGGGGCTTGCGCATATAGGAAATCAGAACTCAGATCATAAAGTCCTCGCAAAATGAGGGCAAAATCTCTGGCCAGTGACATATCTACAAACCCATTCTGTCTTCTGCAAATTTACCCCGGAAGTTAATCTGTTAAAACTCCCCTAAAAGAAGGGAAGGCTAGATTGTGAATTTTCGGAGCCCACAATTATATTTGCTATGATTCTAATATCTTCATTTACTTTTTCGGTTAAGATTAAGTTCTACAACTACTCCAAACATAAACACCTTTTCATCTACAAAATCAAACACCTACACGTGGAAACAATCAAATGTATATAATATGATCATACATAGTGGCCAAATTTGAAGTCTACACTCATAATTCAATAAAGACTCAATAAGAAAAACATTTAAAAAAAAAAAAAAAAAAAAAAAAACACACACACACACACACAGCTCCCGTGAAACAAACCCTCATTCTAAGCTTATTCGATTTTTAAGTTCACCCACCTTGCCACCTCTTTCTTAGCCGCCATTAAAAAAAAAAAATTAAACTGAAATGGTTTGTTTCCACTTGCCATAATAGTAATTGTCGTAGATTCATGAATTAACTTTTTAAAACACTTGATTGGATAGATTTCTGTGCAACCACACAAAATAAATAAACATCTTAGATAATGATAATTAAAATTATATCTTGTGATGACCACTGCGACTTGAAATAGTGCTATCATGGCGATTTTATATTTATATTTTTTTTTGAAGTGGCAGGGAGAGATCGAAAGGGAGCAGATAGATTTCAAGGCGGGGCCTTTCCATCTCCATTTCTGTCAATCTATCAGCTTTATCAGCTTATCGCTGTCAGAATCCGAACCAGGGTTTTCGCATACCATTTCGTGCTTTGTTCTTGTCAGATTCGATGGCGGCGAGTGAGCTTTAGTGGGAGCGTTGCTGCTACGCGTCGCCGAGTTCATTCGAACCCTAGCTTAGGATTTTTTATCTGGTTTTCTTCGGAGGTGGTGGAGAAGATGATATCCGCGGGGATTAATCTTGTGATGACGGTTATTGGATTTGCGGTGAGTACGATGTTCATCGTCTTCGTGTGCACGAGGCTCATCTGCGCTAGAATCCAACTGCAGGCGTCAAGGAGGTCATTCCCCGCGGCTTCCAGATCTGATCTAAGCATCGTGAGCACTTTTCTCCATTTCCTTTCGATTTCTTTCCTTCTTCTTTTGAGAAAGATGTAGTTTTCCGTTGCCCATAATAATGGTGAGGTTGTTCGACTTTTGGCTAAAGAAGATTTTCTTTTTGTACTGTATTATATTTCTGTTATGATGAAAAATTGTTTCTTTGCAACGAACTGCGCCGATTGGTGGCATAATTATGGATTAAGCTCTAATTAATCACGTCTCTGTTCAATTTGAGTATGAGGTCAAAGCAGCAGAGTGCACTGTGGCAGCGTAATTTTAGTTTAAGCTTTGATTTAGATTGATATTTTAAGAAGTCTGGCGAACAGTTCTGCTTGATTTGGTTTTCTGGTGATCTTATTACGCTTCTAATTCCTATTTTAAGTCTTTTTATTTTATCGGATTTCTGACGATGCTTAGGCGCTTGAAAGTTTTGGAAATGTCTTTTATGCATCAACTGCTATGTATTTCCGCTGTGCTTTCTCAGAGTTTGATCATGGATTTATGAGATCCCTTTGCGATTGTGTTTTCTCATGATGACTCTTTTTAGTACTTTTCTCTTTGTTGAATTTGTTACTGTTTCGTTTCAAGCGAGTTATCTCTTCAGCTTTTTATAAAGACAGGAGAATGCAGTTATGGCTTTAAACGTATAAAAAGGTCTTTCAGATCAAACTGGTTAAGGGAATTGTACTGTGTAGTTCATTAACTTTGTCTTCTGATCTTTCTATTCTTGAAACAGATGGAGCGTGGGGTCCATGGACTTGAACCTGTTGTGGTGTCAAGTTTTCCTACAAAGTTTGTTGACCAGTTCGCATATGGACAAGATACTCAGTAAGTTGTGTCCTTTACATTTTATTCTGCACGAGAAATTATTCTGTGTGGAGACCAAAAGCAGAACTCCGTCCGGAGATCAATCAGAATACGTCACATCAGCGGTACTGAGCCACACTACCGAGCCGCAATACCGAGCACAGAGGTGACCTAGCTCATTTTGATTGGTCTCCGGATGGCGTTCGGCGTCCGCACAAAATAATTAATCATCCTGCAGTGATTTATTTTCGCGTGGCTTTGGTCATAATCAATTTGTGTCTTTATGCTAATAGAATCAAATTTCTAGCACTAAGCAGAAAATAATCAACAGTAAAATAATAATAATAATAATAATTAATGATGTAACCACTTGATGACTTGTTTATCATATCAATTTAAAGTTAACTTTTTCCACTCATCATTAATTACACCTTGATAGGATTTCTATTAATGGTGGTTTCTGCAAGTAAAGCAAAACAATGACTTCAAACATAACCTAATGAATACCCATTTTTTCGATATAAAGATCTAGTCCCAACTACCCCAGTAGGAATTTTTGAACCAGTTTCTAGATTATTTTGATGTGTAGGATATGCTTAATGCCTTTTCCATGATGGTGGAAAACATTTTCAAAGTTATTATTTTCCATTTTATTCCATCATCCTAGATGCCTTGATCGTCCTTCTTCCATTTTCAATTTTGATTCCTTTCCTGGTCTACCTGAACTGGTGTAGGTATGATGATGATAAAAGTTAAATGTCCTAAACTGCACAGTTCATTGAACTTTGATGACCGCAACTACTTTCAGTTCAACTTGCACTTCTTCTCAACTTATTTTGTCTGCTTTGATCATCCTGTATTATATCTAACCAGTCTTTAACATGTAAGTTTTGCTTTGTTGCTTAGTTGCAGATGTCATAGTTTTCACCTTTCTTTAGGCATGTGACTTGCTAGATCCATTTGCTTCTCAGGAATGTTTTGATCTGTTAGCATGTTATTAGTGCTTTGTGATGTGATACAATCCATGCGAAGATGAGATGCTTAAAGGACGTTTGCACGTTTAGTTTTAGAGAACAATAATAAGCAAGATCTCATGTTGTTTTGAACGATAACATAAAATATTAAAATGATAAATAGCGTTGGAGGTAAAATTGCTTGCAACAATGCAAGCTTCTTGTATTGATACTTTTCTTTCTTTCTCTCTCAATGATTTGCTGATTTTAAGGCGTCATAGCACATCATGTGTTTTAGCTTGTTCTACTAAAACTACAAAGTTGACGCCTTGTGCTTCCAAAACTTTTCTTTGACTTACTCATCTTTCAAAGGGTAGAAAAATGAGTTATTTGTGAAAGAAATAGTCATAAAAATTCTGGGATTTAAGATATCCATATAGGTGTTTGCACCTTTTTTTTAAATGATGGCATCAATTTTAAAAATTAAATTATGTTTGATATTTTTGCACCAAAATTACTTGTGTATTACTGTTATTTTTCACACTAATTGAGGCGGAAGCATTTTTTGCGGATTGTTATGATCATTTTTTTTTGTATTTAGCAAAGGCTTTCAAGTTGTAAAGTTTGAATAATTATCAGAAATATGATTATACAAACTTTATTGTGCTGTGGTTCTAGCATTTGCTGTTTTGATCTATGGGTTGCTCTCATCTCACTAGTGATTAAGTTGTTTTCATTTTCTAGAATTCAATACTAATGAAGATCAAGTAGCTGACATGCCGAACTTAGGCTTCGTTTGGGGCGGCTTTCTTAATGTTTTCTAAAACAACTTTTGAGTTCAAGAAATTTTTGTACTAAAAAGCTGCTTTAGAAAATAGTAAAAAATTCATCCCAAATGAAGCCTTCGTAGATATAGGTGTCAGATGAGCTAACACAAGCCACTTAAGTATTTGATTGAGTCCCCAATGTCCATCAAGAACTTGGGCTAGCTGATTTATGATGGGCATTGGTGGACTACCCATTAAGGCTTGCTTAAGCAAGCTCCTTAAAGTACAGTGTATTGTCTATTCAACATGCTTGTTCAATGTAAAGAACTGTCTTAAGTGGTCGTGATTGGTTTTTAAAGGGAAGAAAAAAATTATGCCATTTACAAGGTGGCATGGAAAGACAAAAAAACTTGTTAGAAGAACCTAAAAATATATCTACAACAGCTTCTTGTACCATTAGGGTTTAGGGTCGACCAACTTGCTGACATTCTCATCAAAAGGATTATCAAAGGCACTCTTTTAGGAATTATCAAGCAAGCTTGGAATGATGTCAGCCATACATTTAAGGAGAAGTATGAAATGTCTGCATAATTTTTGTTTAGGGTTGGACCAACATTCATCAAGACTTCCATCATCTTTCCTTCCTCATCTATTGCCACTTCATTGAATATGTGATATCTCTGTTGTATAGTCATCAATCCATGAATTATTATAATTATTCATTATTTATTATTTCTACCTACTCATTTATTTGTGGACTATCATGATTATTCTGTAATCATTATCCTTAGATTTTGTATTTTTCCTATTAGAATCTCTCCTAGAATTGTATAAATATTACACAATTTTTGGAATAAAATATTCAACTAATTCTTCAATTATTGTCATTATCTAAGTTGAGCATGAATAAAATGACTATGTTAAATAGATTTGTTGCAAAATTAGAAAGGATAAATTAAAGAATAATTATATTCTTGATTTATTGAGCTGTATTAAAGATAAGTAGTTAAAAATAGACTAAGGGGTTGTTTGGTTGCTTGAAAAAAGGAATACAGTGTATTTAAAATACTTCGGAGCTGTTTGATTGTCTACAAAGTAAATGCAAGGGAACTATTTTCCTTGTTTGGTGAGGTATACACAGTGTAAAGTAAAAGCAATGTATTTTGAACACTTTTGGAGTTATTTGGTATGATGAGCAGTATTGAAGTAAAGTATACTATTGAAATGGAATGGAAATAATACTATTCAATGAGCAATCAAACCTAGAGTGAATTTAATATTTCTATAAACATACTCAACATTATCATTAATGTTTCATAAATATAAAATACATATGAAGGCATTACAGCTCAACATGTTTATATATATAACACAAAATAACCCCAAAAATATCTAGTTATTATAACTCAAAGTGCTAACATTTTTCGTGTTAGAATTCATAGAATTTGATAAGGGTAAAAAATACCTTCTGCTTATTATACAAAAGTATCCCTATTTATAGATCTATACAAGATGTCTTAATAAAGAAATAAATAACTTCTAATTGATACATAGTTGCCTTAATATAATCCTTCCTAATTCAGCTACCCAAATATAGAAGGATATTGGTGTGATTCAGGTGAGCCTCCCACAGATTCTCATCATGTCCGTGGGATCAAATGCCAAGGGATGACTGAAATTTTGACATTCTGCAACACAAATCATTTTCCTAACTCGTTACACATCCATCTAGCCTTCGACTCCATAGGTTTCAAGAGGAAAGATTGTATCATTGTCGAATTCATCCACTCCTGCAACACCCCAATACTTATCCAAATTGGATAGTTGATCTTCAGTATCTTGCAATTGTTCATCCATCCTTATAGCTACCAACAGTGATTTTATTTATTTATTTTTTTTTAAGTGTAGTACCTAACAATTGTGCTGCAAAACTTTCTTTCAAAACTAATAGCCAAAGATTTCAACTGAAAAAATAACATATTCTACAGTACATCAAAACGCAATCTATTCCTTTCTCCAAACTATAAAACACCTTTCTCTAAAATTGAAGTGAGAAAGAACCCCACAAACACCTTTCTCCAAAACCCTTTCTTTCTTCAAAACATAAAAGAAAATTCACATAATGGCTAAAGATTTCAAGTGAAATAAAAAATTGGATTTTCACAAAATTAAAGTGAGAAAGAATGGTTGGACTTCGTGATTTCAAGTGAAAAACAAAATTAAAGTGAACAAGAGCCTTACAAATGAGTGATGCCAAAGATTCCAAATTAAAAAAAAGGTTCCGTTATAGCAAAATGCAATTTTTTCATCTTAAAATTCATAGAATGGTTGGACTTTGCGATACGCACCCGAACGGCTGGACTACACGAGTGATAAACCACGCAGCCAATGAGGAATACGGATGAGCACACACCCGAATGGTTGGACCTCGCAAGCGATAAACCATGCACCCGATGAGGAAAATGGACAAGCACGCACGAGAGCATGTCAGGTTTGCGCAAGAGCAGGATTTCGTGAGGAACGACTCTCAGAGCTTCTGTTTTATGGATTTCTTTCATGAGGAAGATCACGAGCTCGGTATTCAGAACTCCCCCGATTTGAGCGTGTTTGGAATACACAAAAAAATACACTATCGAAGAAGTTTTTAATACTTCGTTCATTTACTTTACATCATACCAAACACAAATAAATTCAAAACCCCTTTATTTACTTTACATACCCTCTAAATACAGGCAACCAAATAAATAGCTACAAGTGATTTTGATGCCCAATGAAGGGTAGAAATAATCCAATAAATGAGTAGATATAATTAGTTAATTAGTGTAAGAGGATTAGCAACGAGAAAGGTAAACCTAAGGTATCATAGATAGAAGTTATTCAAAATTATTTGAAAAGAATAGATTTAACATGTCGGGTAGCACTCTATTGGAATGAATAGAAAATGGAGATTCATAAAGCAAACCTGAATCATTTGGGATAGGGCTTATAATGATGAAGTTATGAAGTTGACCTCATCACACCTGAGTAAAATTCATGTTTTTTTTTTAATTTTAAATCTGAAGCATATTATTTCATGATTTTCATTTAATTCGCTGGTTCATAGGGATCCAGTTAAAGAGTTGCAATTTTATTCCATATTTGATGATGTGAAAAGAGATCATATCCTATATTGAACTTGTCCCTGTATTTCCAGATGCGCGATTTGTCTTTCTGAATACCAAGAGAAAGACATCCTGCGTGTCCTTCCTTATTGTGGACATGCTTTTCATGTTTACTGCATCGACACATGGCTGAGGCAGCACTGGACATGTCCGGTCTGCAGAATTTCATTACGAAATTCTCCCGATAGAAGACGAAAAACGCCACCTGCTCAAAATTCTTCTTTGAGACCTCTTTTTCGTGAAAATTTTGTTTCTGAATCATATCACTATCAATTTGGCGTGGACAATTTTTCATCAAGTCTGATCCCAGATCCAGCTAGAGCTGATGATACTGTTTCTAGCACTCCAGAAGTAAACTGCTCTACAGAATTAGTAAAGCAGATGGAGAGTCCATCAAATTCTTAGTTTTCTGTGTACAATGTAGAGTTTAGCTGACCGTTTAAACTCCATCTCTACAAAGTTGAAGCATTGTTGAGATTGTTGTTAAAGTTCCACACCAGCTGAGTGTTGGAAGTTGATAACAATTCATTGTAAATATCTCAAAACTTGTGCTTTATTTATAGGATAGAAAAATTCAGATTTGAAATTTTATATGTACTGTTTCATCTATTTCTTGCTCCTCTTTTGTTTTGCTACTGAACTCATGGTGGAAATTAAACCTATATTTTCGCTTAGTTCATTTTATGTTTTTTATTATTGTGTTTAAAGTTAGTGTTAAACCGATTTACACATCTAAATTGAAACAAACCACCCAATTCTCAAACTATTAACCTCAAAGCCTGATAAATTTTCAATGTTCTAGTCTTAAGCAAGTGTATGCCCTCTATTTCTAGAGAGATTATTATATGCGGACGCCGAACGTAATTCACCATCCAGAGGCTAACCAGAATGTGCAACGTCAACAGTACCGAGCCAGGTACTGAGCTGGAGGTGATGTGGCGCATTCTGATTGGTCTTCAGATGGCATTTGGCGTCCGCAAAGAATAATTTCACCTACTTTCGAACCACTTTGTTGTTGCAGCTTCTTACCGGTGTAAATGAGTCGAGTTTGGGTGAGTTTATCATGTATTCGTGTTTGTTTTGTTAAACTTTTCATTTTTTTTTTTAAATTGGCTCTTGTTTGAAATTGCTTGTAAACCGATTTCTTTTCCATCTGTATAGCTATGCTCGTACAGCTTTATTTATGGGTGAACAAAAGAGAAATGAGCTAGTGAAGGAATTACTAAATTTTCTTTTATTCATTTCCTAGCAGAGATATAGTTATCAATGTAGTGCACCGAAAGAAGATAAAACTTCTTAAAGCCTTCGTAGGTTCATTCCATTGAGTTAATGTGTTCCAATATTAGGAGTAGAGAAGGGTTTAAGAGAGAGAGAAGTTCAGGATAGCCATCCTTAAAGAATTGCCATTGAAAAATAACAGAAGAAAAAGAGATGGCTAAGTATTTTAGTTTCATCTCAACAAAGATGGCAACATTGGTCAATGAAGGTGTGACATGGTCAATTCCACCTTGCAGGAATTATTAGTTACTGGAGATATTCTTGGAGCCAATTGCCTTAGCAATTTTCAGCCCACATTTGATTGCAAGTCCTGAGTAAATAAAAAAATGGAGATTTACCTATATACCACTTTATATTATTCTATTACATATTTAATATATAAAACTTTAATATTACATACATATCACATTTAGTTCATTTTCATATCAAATATTAGTGGTATGAAAGAAATATACATAGTATATTTGATATTAAAATAATATAGGGTGGCCTGCATGTAATATTAAAGTTTTGGGTGTTAGATATGTAAATAGGATGTTATAAAATGATATGCATGTAAATTTCTTCACAAAAAATGAAAGAATGCTCAATAATCCCATTCCAATATTGGAAATGACCTGTAGTGATGAAATAATCTCCTGAATTGGTTGCAAATAGTTTGGTAAAAGAAACTTCTAACCATTATCATCAGTAAGAGAACTGAGGTGAGCAAAGGGGGGAATGGTAATGCATTTTGGGCCTCTAAACCAACCAAATCTATTAAGCTTTTACTATTTAAGGAAGGATCCCATAGTCGCAACAAACAGGACCCATTTCAAATTTGAGATAGCTGGTGAGTTTGCATAAGTTGAACAATATGTGAGAGGCATTTATAAAAAAAATAAGTGGTTTCTATCAAGTAGCTTCTATGCCAAAATGTATTTGTGCAAACATAAAAAAGAAATGAGAGACAAACTCGGCATATATTGAAAGAAACTTGATCAAAATTTATCTTTGAGAAAAGAAACTCAAAAAGGAGTATAAAATAGATAGGCATGAGCAAAGATGGGACCTAAACAAGGCCAATAATCATGAGTTCAGAGTATGCCAAGACCTAATCGGGTGTGGCCCGATCGATTGCACCTTTAAGTTTAGGGACCGTAACAATTCAAAAATATAAAAAGGAAATTTTGAAGGAAAATATTTGAATTCATATTTTACATCCATTTGTATATGTTTGAAAGTCTTTAGTGTTTGAAAATGGTTGTGTGCTCGAGAATGAGTCTCAAGGGTCTAGAGTGAATTTTGGCAAAATCTAAAAAATGTTACTATTTGAGTGCCTCAATACTGGGTGTCCAAGCTCCTCGATGCTGCAACAGTACCATACGCCAAATAGTGGCATTGCAGTGCTCCAGTCTCTATATTTTGGAAAATAATCTTGTGTTGTATTCTAGGTGGTAGTGCAGTAGCATCAGGCTATTATCTCCATTTTTATTGGGGATGCAAATGAACCGAGCGTTTGACGAGCTACTCGTGGCTTGGCTCCATAAGAGCTCATTTATCTTTGTTTGATAAGGTAAACAAATGAGGTTGAATATTTTTTATAAATACTAGATAGATAAATAAACAAGCTTGAACAACTTGGGATTCGGTTCGTTTATATTCATGAATAGTATCAATTAACGCCTGTGAACAAGCTTGATTAGAGTTCGACTAAGAAGCTCGATTAGAATTAAAATTGAGTTTTAATATATATATATATATATATCGGATCGGCTGTTTCAACTGTAAAACGGTCTAAAGGCCGGCCCAGTTCAACCTTTATTTTTTATCCATTTATTTGTTATATATATTTGATTATATATTATAAAAAAATTATTTTTTTAATATGAATAATATTTATTTTTTTATTTTTTTTGGGAAATTTACTTTTGTAGTTAATAATATTTTATTTATATCTATTTAATTTTTAATAATTAATTATATATTATAAACAATTAATTTTTATTTTGCATTTTTATATAATTTATATTTAAATATGTAATATAAATTAACAATGATTTATATTAAAGTATAGATTATTATATTTCATTATTATGTTAATTTTATTAAATTTTTTAATAATATTATTATTTATTACATCATCCTGTTCGACCCTAATTCGACCGGTCGAACCGTGAACCTCTCCTTCTTCTGGTTCGTTGTTCGGTCCGGTTTTCACAACGGCCTAAAATTATAAACCCGCTCTCTGAACAAATATAAGATGAATCATAGATAATTTATTAGTGAATGAGCTCATTTGGTAACTTGAAATCACTAATTAGATATGTTTATGAATGAGCTCAATTGATAGGTCCAGAATACTCATTAGATATGTTTGTGAACGAGCTTATTTGATAGTTTAACAAAATTTGTTATATATGTTCACGAACATTCTCAATATAATTATTTGTTAGAAGGCTAAATAAGGCTCGTTTCTAGAAGTAAAGTTCGTTTATAGCTTGATAATGCTCGTTTGTTTAAAACTTGAAAAGCACAAAATGAACTAAACATGAACCAAACATGAACATTATTAATTTAAATAAACCAAACTTGAACACAAACAAAAATCTCGAATCAAACTCAAACCGAACTTGAACAAGTTCATAATAAACGATCTTAAACATGAACAAGCACATATTCAACTTGGTTCGGTTTGTTTGCAGCCCTAATTTTTATATATTTTAAATTCATTATTATGTTCGAAGTAGAGAGAGGGAGATGATTTTTAGAGAGAGAAACTATAATTTGAGCTGCTTCGAGTCATTTTCAACAAGCAGACTAGTTGGGAAAGTTGTATGGATCAAGGTGTTCATATTATGCCTATCTCTATTTTCAAATATTCGATATTTTTTATATTTCTCCTGTTAAATTTTTATTTTTTAAACAAAAAATATGGATAACTTTGAATTAATAAAATTTTCATTGTGTAACTTTTAATATGTTATTGAGATCGATATTTTGAACATTTTTAGTATTTTCTAAAAAAATTATACTGAGTATTTAGAATTTGTCTGGTTTTTATTTAATAAAAAATAATTAGAACTCTGAAAAATAGTTTTATAATACGATTCAAAACTAGAAATTATGTTTTACACAGCTTTTGATAATTTGGTTGTGTTTTGAAACAGTGCATTTTTACTTAGTAGGTATTTTATTCAAGCATTGAGAAAGAATAATGTTATGTGAATGGGTAATAGTTAGTCATTATTGCTTTTATTGGAATGTGTATAAAAGACAAGTAAAAACTGGTTGACCCATTGGTTGAAAATTGGTTAACCTACATATGATGATAGGCTGATGGTTTTTCTTTAAATATTATAGTTCGGTGTTATCTGATACAACAATACAACGATTTCAAAGCAACAATTAGGAGTTATAAGAAATTATTATCATGTCGACGGGCAAAGAGCGATCACTTTGTTTACTGAACCAATGATTTTTATTGATACTGATACAATACTGAAAAATACCATGATAGTCAAGACTTCTTACTTGTTTAGCGTGATTAAAGAAATGCAATTTATAGATTCATTTTTACTGTACAAATTATTGTTATAGAATTTATTTACTATTACTGTCACTAAATTTATTGGTACCGATACATATATTGATATTGTTATTGAATTATTACTAATACTATTACTGATCAATTATTATTGTTATTGATTCATTATACTTATTAATGATGCTAAGCATGTAACATACTAAGCACATGATATACTGACCATATAATTAAGATATCGATATGATACTGATATAGACTCACTGGATAATATTTGTACACATTTATAAGATTTTACTATATTGATTTGAGCACATGATATGATGATCGCACCTCGGTCTGGGCACCCCTCTCCCTAGTGGAAGTGGGAGGGGGAACCCGAACTCGAGGTACTTCCACATGAATGGCGGGGGTTACAACGGCAGTAGGCTGCCGGTACTGAGGGGCTGGAGCAACCTGTGCAACAGGAGCGACAGGCACGGGTCGCCTAACCGCTGGATGGATAGGGGGGACAACAACAACAGGCTGCCGGCGCTGAGGGGCCGGAGCAACCTATGTAGCAGAAGTAACAACAGCAATAGGCCGCCGGTGCTGAGGGGCCGGAGCAACCTGTGCAACAGGAGTAACAACAGCAACAGGCCGCCGGCGCTGAAAATAACTTTGGATCTATGTATCCCAACTCAAAACTAACTTTCACAACACTTAACAATTACACAAATTACATTTATATGAAAATAAAATCTAGACTCACCTGCATGGTTATCCTAAGCAGTTAATAAATAAAAAGTAATTATTCTCAAGCAGTTATATATGTGCAGAAAAGAAAGTAAACACACTGGCCACGTACTTTTTTTTATTTGGGGGCTTTAGCAGCTA